GTCTTTCTCTCGCACTGACTTGTTCACTTTGTGATAGCTCATCCATCTATGTATACGTTATGACTTGTGCACTGAAAAGTGAGCGTGTGCATGTATGTGTATAAAATACTTTTCAATAAAAAAGTATTTAAAACAAAGGCAGAAATCCGCTGTCATGCAAAGAGAAAATGCTCTGGCAGACCTTCAGGTACTCCAGTGATCGCTGAGAAAGCTATATTGAACAGAAAGGCAATGGAATACTTAAACCAGAATCTGGGGTGGCAGCAGTTATGTTGGGCGGCTGTTGTGAGCAGAAAAGAAATGGTGCCTGTGACCTGCCTAGCACTGAATGAAGGGCAAAAGCATTTTGTTCATGGTTTGTTGGGCCCTACGATGGCAGTGTAGCTATATCGTTATCACTACTGGTATCAATCAACACATCTCATTAGAAATACATTACCTTCATATAGGGGGTTGGGGGGCTATGGGGAGACTGGACAGATCTCCATTCGCTTTTCCCAAAAAACTCTAACAGAAAACTACTCGTAAGACAGAAGTGAGAAGGCACTTGCTCCCTAGAATGGCACTCCCCAATCCTTTCAAAAGAATACAGAACATTTCCTCCACTGTATTCATAAGGCATGAAGGTTAAATCACATCCACAAATCTAAGCTCCACCCCCACACTGGGCACCTTCGCACTCCTACACCCCACCTCACCTACCTCCTGCTCTCCAATGGGGCCAGGGGGAATTAATGCCTCATATCGTCCTCCTTCCACCTCCCAATCAGCGAGCCCTTATCAGGCACCTCACAGCCCTCCCAACCGCGACATCCAATCACAACGTTCCACATGCTGCGCGCATCCCAGCACCAGGAGCGCTTCCCGGAGGAACCCGTGCGGATACTCCCAGCAGGATTTGCAAAAGATTGAGCCTTTTCCGCAGAAGCCACACTGCCATCTGCTGCCTGGTCCCCAGCGACACAGCGAGAGGCACGCCTCCTCGGACCATTCCCTTCTGTCTCACTTCTCATTGCTATTACCCAAACCAAACATGCAAATAAAAATTAGGAAACACATGTAACAATACCACATAAGAGCCAAAAGCTTTTCTTTGTTTTTAAAGCGCAGCGGTAACAGATTTACATCCGACTGCTGTTGTTAGGTGCCTTAAGAGTGAGTTCCTACTCAATGTATAAGATTTCTGAGGAGCAGCTGGTGGGTTTGAACCGCTGACCCTGCCGTTAGCAGTCCAATGCCTATCTACAACATCACAATATTTACATGGTGTAGGAAGCATTCGTTTTAATAGTGTTACACTTTGAAAAGGTCTTTTGTCAAGCAGCTTGAGTTCAAATACCTAATTCACCTATTATGTGGTGGTGGTGGTGTGCTATAGCGCTGGTTCCAACTCACAGCGACCCAGCATAGCGTATCTGAGGCTGTAAATCTTAACAAGAGCAGAAAGTTTCATCTTTCTCGCGCGGTACCGCTGGTAGTTTCGAACTGCTGACCTTGAGGTTAACGGCCCGACTCATAACCACTATGCTACTCCTTCACCTGTTATATAGTGGGTAAAATCAAGAGGTCCACACACTCATATGTGTATCAACATATTTCTGGATATGTGTGTAATAAAACAGAAGCAGGCCTTCTCATCATCCCTAATTATACACACAGAAACCAAGGTTATGCGACCTAGCTGACAAGCAGTACAGCTGGGTTTTAACCCAGACATTCGCCTCCACGGTACAGATACTTTATATCACAGCACAAGGAACTCAAACCCCATTGCCACTGACTCCCAGTGACTGACGCTGCTGCTGTGTGTTGTCCACCTGGTTCCAACTCCCAGCAACCTTGATTAGGGTTTCCGGGAATTAAAACTTTTACGGGAGCACAAAGGCTCATCTTTCTCCCAGGAATATGAATGTTGTTGTAAGTGCCGTTGAGTTGGTTTCGACCCATAGCAACCCTGTATAGGGTTTCCAAGGCACGGCTGGTGAGCTTGAACCGCCAATCCTGAGGATCAAACTGACTTTTCAGTCCAGTGCATTAACCCACAGCAGCACTTAAAATATTTTATTAAGCTAAATTTGTGAAAGCTCATCACTGTGCTGTAGTTGTATAACAGAATACATGTATTTGAGGTAATGTACACTGAAGTATTGTTATTAAGTTGCTGCTAAGTGTTGTCAAGTCAGTTCCAACTCATAGCGACCCTGTATAGGGTTTCCAAGGAGCGGCTGGTGGGTTTCATCTGTCAGCCTTGTGGTTAGCAGCCCAATGCTTATCCTGCAGTGCCACATCAGGATTGAATTATTAAGGGGTACAAAACAAGCTCTCAAATGGTTAAAAAACAGTGTGTTCATTAATATATATAGAAAGAAAAAAAAAGAAAGTAAAAACAAATGAGTCAAAATGTCAATAATACCACATACAAATCTGGGTAAAGGGTATAAGGGGGCTTCAAAACATTTGAGTAAAAATTGAATTAAAAAAATAAAAGAATTTTTCCATGAACTTTTGAAGCCCCACTCATATTTAAGTGCTGTTTGCACAGTTCTTACAATTTTTTGTAAGTTTAAAATGATTTCCAAATTAAAAGTTTTTAAGTTACCTACATATGCCATTTATTACATGGCAGACAATCCTATTATCAAAACAAAACAAAACAAAACAAAAATCCTGTTTATATTAACAACATGAACTCCAGTTTACATAAAAACACAAAGTACTTTAAAATGACTCTTCCATAAATCAGTTTACCATGTAAACTGAGAGAAGAAAGCACTATGATTTGTTCAGAATTTACCAACAGTTGTTCACCAGTTTGCAAACAAAATACTGTCACTCATGAGACTGTTAGTCCTGGTATTTGAACTCGTGGAACTCACCTGTCTCCATCTGCACATACATCTGTCATGTTCACAGTGGTTCTACATTCAAGTGTAAGCATCTAGCCACTTCATCTTGTTGTGATTTGTTTTTAAGTATAGTTTTTCCTAAGCATTCATTTACATATTGAAATATGGATCATTTCTTTGTTATCAATGTTAGTTGCTGTCAAGTCAGCCCATAATTCATGGTGCACCACGGGATGCGTTTGTATCATGGCTAAGGAATTATATGGATTTTTAATAAAACAATACACACGTTATCTTATTTGTAAGTTGCATTTCAGGATAATAAGAGAAGGGCATTATAAGGTACTCATTATAAAAGGGCTATGTTGGTCATTTTTAGAATCAGACAGTAAGTTCCTTATGGAGAGGTACTTGGTTCAAACCTACCAACGGTTCTGCGGGAGAAAGATGAGCTAGTCTGCTTCTGTAAAGATTTGTAGCCTTGAAAAAAACTCTATGGGGCAGTTCTTCTCGGTCCTTTAGCCACAGAGTAGAACCATGAATTGGAATCAACTCAAGGGCAACATGTTTTTACAGTCACTTGCCTTCAGATCTTCCACAATTCTGTTTTGGCTGGTCCCTGCTGACACTCATTCCAGGGCTCACTAACAGCTCTGCTCTTGCAATTTACATCACTTCTTTGGAACCACAACACTGCTGCCACCATGGTAGCCACTACACACAGCTATAAAGAACTGTCCCCTGCACTTATGGGGAGAATTCATAAACATCGACTTTATCATTGACATAAACCGAACCAAAATAAAAAACCTAAGGGAAAAAATTAGATCAGCACTGGAATTGGTTCAAAGCTGACATCAGTCCCATAAAACTATAGCCAGTCGACTTACTTGGACTGCTGTCCCAATGACGTTATATTTGTTAAAGGACAGGAAGAACCAAGTCTAAAGAATGTACAATTTTCCAAGGGGCTCTTTAGGCCAGTGATGCCTTCCTTAGTTTTTAATAAAAGAGATGTTGCAATATCTCTGTGATATGACATAGGGAGCCCAGGAAGAAAGTATAATTAGGAGCCTACTGCCTAGGCAGATGTTAGCCAACTATGTTCTCTAAGTGCCTCATAAGAGATTATAAAACTGCTTTGAAGCTATCACTTGTAACATAATAGAGAAGAATCAAAGAGAGCGCTGAGACCATAAGAGGAGTTAAGAAAATGAAAAGACTGGCAATATAAAAAGATGAAAGTGTAAAATGTATTTTTCTCCACAGAGACTGTAAAACAGAGAAAGGAGCATGAAGACGAATCCTCATTATTCATGGATTTTGTATTTGTGAATTTGTCTACTCACCAGCATTGACGTGTACCCCTCAAATCAATACTTTTGGCAATCATTTGAGAACATGCACAGAGCTGCAAAAATGTGAGTCACCCAAAGCTCACATTCTACTTTGCCTTCTTGTTTCAGCTTCATATTATATAAACCTTGACATGGTCTATTTAGTGTGCCAAGCTTTCTCCATTGTGCTTTTTCTCGATGATTTTGCTGTTTAAAACAACCTCCAAGCATGGTGTTAAAGTTCTGTCTAATGTTCCTTAGTGCAAGAAGGCACTGTGATTTACCTTAGGGAAACACATGTTAAATAAGCCTCACTGGGGCATTAATTATAGCGCTGCTGGACATGAGCTCAATATTAATGAATTAATAATATATATTAAATCAGGTGTTTTCAAACAGAAAAACATATAAAACAAGGTTGTGTACTCATATTTATCAGTGGATAAAAATATGACCAAAGGGTCACAAAACTTCACTCTTTATTTTTGCTGGAAGCAATGGTTTGGTGTTCACTAATTTGGCACTCACAGAGTCTTTATGGAACACAAGTTCTGCGACCAACTGTATATGACAAGAATGAGAAAAGACAAGAAAGAACCGCTAATATAACTTAGGGCGACTACTTAAGGCAAATACGGAATCTCAGAAATTTACAGGCCACAGAAAATGATTTTGCCACCTGTGAAATTGCTGAATGCTTTTAACAACTCAGTGGATTATCATGAAAAGCTCTTGTATATACATCACAGAAGCATAAGATGATATAGATGTATCCCTGACTGAAAATGACACATACAATAGCCCGCCAGGTACCTACCAAGGTGACAGTGTTCTTTTTCTCTTGCTTCCCATTTCTGGCTGTCCACATATGCTGCAGAAAGGAGGCATCTTTTTCCTGAGGTAGAAGAAGACATTTTTCTCAATAGGCCTGGCTTCATAATCAGTTTATTTTACATGCTTGTCTTTATTGAACATCTTTGTCATAGTTTCAACTTATTGTTGTTGTTGTTGTTAAGTGCCGTCGAGTCGGTTCCGACCCATAGCGACCTTATTAGAGATCATAAAGATTCTACTAGTCTGGCACAACCAATATTGCAGAGCTCATAACTCAGTTCACAACAATATGCATTCAACCGCTAGAAAGTGGAAGATGCAGAAAAACTGTAATTTTTTCCAGTAATATGGTCAATTGCATGCTGGTAATTTTGTTCCTATAACTTCAGGGCTAGGATTCATTTATTTCCACTGAATTATAGCCTATGTGAGCCATAAAACTCCCTACCACAACCCAAAACAATTGCTGGACTGTTGTCTAGCTAATTATTAGAATGGTTTATAATCATTGGTGGTGGTTGTGTACCTTGGAGTTGGTTCCGACTCATAGCGACCCTGTATCGGGTTTCTGAGGCTGTAAATCTTTACGGGAACAGAAAGCCTTATCTTTCTCCCTTGGAACAGCTGGTAGTTTCGAACTGCTGACGTTGTGGTTAGTAACCCAACTCATAAGCACTATGCTACCAGAGCTTATTAGTCACTCCAAAACAAAACCCCCAAAAAGAGATGAAAGTCTGACTTGGAGCAGCATTGTTGTTGTTGTTAGGTGCCATCAAGTTGGTACCAACTCATAGCAACCCCACGCACAACAGAACTCAACACTGCCTGATCCTGGGCCAAACTCACAACTGCTGCCACGCTTGAGCCCATTGATGCTGCCACTTTGTCAATTCATCTCGCTCGGGGTCTTCCTCTTTTTCTCTGACCCTTCACCTTACCAACCATGATATCCTTCTCCAGCGACTGGTCACTCCTGACAATATGTCCCAAGTATGAGAGACGAAGTTTGGCCATCATGGTCTCCAAGGAACACTCTGGCTGGACTTCTTCCAACACAAACTTACCCCCATTTCACATAATGCAAGAGTAATACTTTATCCAGTAACTCACTACCCCACTATTAAGTAAGAGAAACTCAGTAAGCCAGTCAAATGTGGTGTAACACATAAGATGACACAGCTGTATTCCAATAAACATGAATTCAATGAATGAATGAGAAAGAATGACAACTTTATCAAAACTTGAAATGTTTGTGCTTCAGAAAACACCATCACCCACAGAATGGGAGAAAATATTTGCAAATCATTTATCGGATAAGAGACTCATATCCAGAATACATAAATTGCATTTACAACTCAAAAATACAAAGTCAAATAACCCAACTGAAAAATGGACAATGCAATCGAACAGACATTTCTCCAAAGAAGATACAAATGGCCAATAAAGCACATGGAAAGTTGTTTAGCAACATTAGTCATTAAAGAAATCTACAACAAAACCACTCTGAACTACCACTTCTTACTGATTAAAGCACTAAACCTATTGCCATTGAGTGGATTCCAACCCATAGTGACCCTACAGGGGAGAGAAACACTGCACCAGAGGGTTCCCTTGTAGGCATGCTCTGACTCCAATATATAAGACTGCTTTGGAAAAGTTTGCTCTCTTGCCCTGGATCTTGCAGAATCGTCTTACCTGATTCACCAGCTCCCACAGCCTCATGCAGCCACAGCGTGTGTTCTGACCTGCTCATTTGGGTTTCTCAGCTCCTGAGACTACGTAGGTGAGAAGATTCCTTCAGCTTGATCTCTGAACTACGGATTTGGGACTTGCCAGCCTCCACAGTTATGTGAGCCATTCCTTTTTTTTTTGGTTAAAACAATCCTTTATTGAACATTTTCTTTTGTAGTTCTTAACTTAGCTGGGCATTCCATAACACCATCATTGATGTTACCTGGGTAGCGGCTGTCAATGTTGTAGCCCAAAGAATCTCTTTAATAGTCCCTGAGAGTTCTCTGGCCAAAGACCGGTGTCATATCTGACGGGCAGTGTTGATAATCTTATCTAAAGTGATAGTTCCACTTTGCTTAATATTTTTCAGTTTCTTTCTGTCTCTGGGAGGTTCCTTGAGAGCTCTGATGATTGGGGCAGAGGCAGAAGGTACCATCTCAATCTGGGCCTGTCTGTTCTGAATGGTTAATTTCATCACACTCTTTAACCCCTTCCAGTCATCAGTTACCTTGGCAATGTCATTAGCAATCTTTTTTGAAGACAAATCCCGGGGGGCCAATCTTGGGGGCCGGAGCAGATGTAGCCCCAACTTCCCCATTGGTGCACCTCAGGTATACAACTTTGACCTCATTGGGGTCAAACTTGGGTGGCATGGCAGAGGCAGTGGGTGCCAGATAAACCCAGATGCAGGTTGATTAAACAAATTTGCACCTACACCTCCTCCGAGCCTAAAGACAAAAGTGTAAGGCATTTCTTTTGACAACTGTGAGTTTTGTGAGACATTGCAGAACCCTGGGACTTGAGGGAAGGGAGGATTGGTGATTGTTATCAACGACTATGAAGGGGTATAACATGTCAGAGAAGTAGAACAGTTGGGGTATCTTTAACCTCCAATTCATAGGGACCAGCTTTGTGCTGAAATTTTTTTTTTCTTTTCTTTTCACTTTAGCACTTTTATTTCTCCTTACCCAAGGCCATGTTGCTGGGGCCTAATGTTCGCACATGACAGTAGATAAACCAAAATTTGTTGTCATCTCAAGAGTTGAGAACTGTATACAAACACCATATATAAAAGAATGAATGAGTTTACAGGTTTAAATGCAAACCATCTTCCAACTCAAGGCAAGTAATAACCCATGGGGTTCCAGCGCTAGAACATCAGCTAAGAAAGGAAACTGGTCCCAAGGCTCAGATTCTTCCAACTCTGACAGGCATGCAAGACAGATATAACAACCGCTCCGGGCCACTTACCAACCAACCCTGCAGGTGTGATCCTGGAGCCATCAGCTCTTCGCATTAATACCCTGAACAGACTTGCCACAACTACGGACTTCTCCCCACCATGTCATCCCTTCACCTCGGCCGAGACCGATTCACACGCTCTAGGGGCTTAAATTAAAGATAGGTACAAGGTATTAAACACAGACCAAGGAAACAGGTAACTTGAATACAAGGTCAAAATCAGCAACAAGTGTTAGGATCCAGTGCTGCTGTTACCGAGATACAGGCTTCAAGGACAATTTCTTTTCAAAGGCTTCTTCCAGTTTCACGAGGCTAGCTTAAGATATGCGGTTTGTGGGCAAACCTGCACTAGGGTCATGTGGCAGGTGGTGGCACCTGCTGGCAGTCCGTCTAGAAGTATTTGCGGTGGATGATGGAGGGGCCTGTCTTACTCCCTGCTTGCTGATCTGCTGGAAGGTGGGCAGCGAGGCCAGGATGGAGCTGCCAATCCAGAGTACTTGCGTTCTGGAGGAGGAATGATCTTGACTTTCATGGTGCTGGGCGCCAGGGCCGTGATCTCCTTCTGCATCCGGTTGGTGATGCCTGGGTACATGGTGGTTCCGCCTGACAGCACCGTGTTGGCATACAGGTCCTTCCGGATGTCCACGTCGCACTTCATGATGGAGTTAAAGGTGGTCTCGTGGATGCTGCAGGACTCCATAACTGGGAAGGAGGGCTGGAAGAGCGCCTCCGGACACCGGAAGCGCTTGTTGCCGACGGTGATGACCTGGCCATCGGGCAGCTCTTAGCTCTTCTCCAGGGAGGACGAGGACACAGCGGTGGCCATCTCCGAAATCCAGGGCGGCGTAGCACTGCTTTTCCTCAATGTCGCACACGATCTCGCGCTGGGCAGTGGTGGTGAAGCTGCAGCTGCGCTCCATCAGGATCTTCATGAGGTAGTTGGTCAGGTCGCGGCCCACCAGGTCCAGACGCAGGAAGGCGTGTGGCAGGGCGTAGCCCTCGTAGATGGGCAGGGTGTGCGTGACACCGTCGCCCGAGTCCATGACGATGCTGGTGGTGCGGCCTGAGGCGTAGAGGGACAGCACAGCCTGGATGGCCACGTACATGGCGGGATTGTTGAAGGTCTCAAACATGATCTGGGTCATCTTCTCCCGGTTGGCCTTGGGGTTCAGGGGCGCCTCGGTCAGCAGTATGGGGTGTTCCTCGGGGGCCACGCGCAGCTCGTTGTAGAAAGTGTGGTGCCAGTTCTTCTCTATGTCATCCCAGTTGGTGACGATGCCGTGCTCGACGGGGTACTTGAGGGTCAAGATGCCCCTCTTGCTCTGTGCCTCGTCGCCCACGTAGCAGTCCTTCTGGCCCATGCCCACCATGACACCCTGGTGCCAGGGGCGCCCCACGATCGAGGGGCAGATGGCACGGGGGGCGTTGTTGCCCGCAAAGCCGGCTTTGCACATGCCGGAGCCATTGTCGATGACGAGCGCGGCGATCTCTTCTTCCATGACGACCCAAGGCCGAGTGGCAGCAGCAGCGAGCACAAGCAGAGAGAGGAGCGAAGGCAAAGCCAGTGGCGGAGACTGAGACGGTGCTGATTTTTGCAAAAGAAATTATTCATGCAACTTCCAAACTAGAATAAGGAGACTGTAAGAAAATATCAGATCCTGCCAAAAGAATCGGAGACATCAATTCACATAATCCATTCATAATTTACGGCAGAATTAGAAAACAACAACACTGAATCCCAATGTCTAAAACCTGGAAGATTTCTCCTTTCTGTGGGGAATAATGGCAGCCCTCTTCAAAGTGAACATGAGCTATTATTCTTCACATCTTCAAAAAAGATTCTATTTCCCTGTATCGATATAGAACATGGGAACACTGAATGGTTTAATATTAAGAAAGGTGTGCAACAGGGTTGTAGTCTTTCACCATACTTATTCAACCTGTATGCTGAGCAAATAATCCAAGAAGCTGGGTTCTATGAAGAAAAACGTGGCATCAAGATTGGAGGAAGACTCATTAACAACCTGCGATATGCAGATGATACAACCTTGCTTGCTGAAAGTGAAGAGGACTTGAAACATTTACT